TTAACTCTTCCCTACTACCACCTATATATAGGCTCCTAGAGCTCCCTCTTCCCATCATTTATTCCATGTGGGACTTCTTAACATTGCTATTTTATCCATCTTCCTATCATTTAATCAATGCGGGACTTCTTAACATTGCTATTTTATTCATTTTCTTATACACACATACACACACACACACAAAATCATAATTATTTTAATTACATATATATATATTTAACCTCTACCTATGCTATAAAAATTTGTTTAAATATTAGATATATGAAAATTAGGATGTTACAAGAACCAAGCCTTAATGTTCGGCCAAACTGAATCTTGAGGAAGGAGATTTATTTTCTTAAATCCAAGTAGATATTTGGAATCTACATGAAAAATCATGTAGGAATGAACAAGAGAGAATTTTTAGGGCGTAAAGAAACAGACTCTAAAAATTCAAAAAACAAAGATGGAAGCTTTAAGGGGTTTAGGAGTTACTTGAGCTTTGTTGTTAATTTTTTTGGTAACTTTGCTGCTCTTTTTGTGATTTATCATGATTAGGGTTTGTTAATTGTGGAGAAGAGGAAGAAAGTCAAAGAATCAAAGAGTATTGGATTAAGGTAGTAAGATTTAATTAACCTTAATGTTGATTGTTGTATTGATTGCTATGCAATTTCATGTGCTATTCTATGGTTGAACTAATGATGATGATGATGATGATGATTGTGTAGCTATACTCCTTGCTTTAAGTGCCTTGGCTATTGCATGTTAGAGTGCTACATGTATGAGGTAAAGTAGTTCCCTATTAATAGCAAAAGGTTAGAATGCTTGTAATTGATGCATGTTAATGTTTTGGTTGATTAATTTTGCTACTGGGATTTCATTCAAATCTCATCCCCCATATATAACCTAATATTTTAGGGGCAGATTCATCAAAAGGGAGGCTACAAATCCAAGGATAAAATGGTGATGAACCATGAGGAAACAATTATGATTTGGTTATGTATAAGTATGTATGATTGATGCTGTAACCCTAAGCAGGATGCCAATTTTGAGCCATGTTTTTATTAAGTTCTCGAATGAATTTCTTCACAAAATTTGGTATGCTTAAATTTCATATCATGAGCTTGAAATCAATAGGTAGCACATTAAAAATGGCCAACTATACGATTTATAATGATTTATCAAAGTTAAGGTCCAGAATCTGGAAAAAGATTTTTACCAAAAGAACAGAGGTGACTTTCACAAAAATTTGGGATTTTCTCACAAGGAATTAAATCCCAATATTATTTTTTTCTTGAAAGAGAATTCAAAGAGATTTCTGTAGAATTTTGAACCACTTTATTTTGATTTTTTTAATTAAGTTATGATTTTTTGAAATTGAACCCAAAAACTAGATTTTTACCAAATGAAGAGTAAAAATCGAAAAATAGTGTCCTCAACATCCTAAATGTGATTTTTGAGCCCAAGACCATCCAATGTGGTCTAAAATAGCTTCGGTTAAACTCTAAGTTATTCTAGAAGTAAGGTGTAACACAATGGGCTCTTAGTGCCGCAATACAGTAATTGAGCTCACTCTCAATCACTCCCCCTTACTTCCCGTAAAGTTACAATTCCCTCAAGAATCCCAGATTCTTGAGTCACTCGTTAAAAGTAACAAATGATTTTCAGATTCTCTCTTAAGAGTGTATAAGATTAACACTAAAGCTCAATATAGAAAACAGAGTATTGAATGCAAAGATTAATTTTCATAGTTCGTAGCTCAGTTCATTCACTACTTCATTCAATACTCTTCACGTCATTTATGGTTCGAGTCTTCTAACTTCCTGTTAGACACAAAAGCTTGTAACCATTGGGATTTTGCTTGCATGTGTTGGTAGTTATAACAGTTGTTTGTAATAAATGCTTCTAACACAGGTAGGTTGAGCCTTTAATGTATCTGTTGAGCTTCGTAACTTGTGGAAATGTCTCAATACAAGGATAAGCTTTTCTTCTCAAGTGAATAAGAATGAATAATAGAAGAAATGATGATCCTTGAATTTAATCCAGGAAATGAAAATCATAAATCAAGGATAAGTTAATTAGAGAAACAATTTTATCAAATTTTATCGAAGATCTGACCAAGCCTTTAATCGATAAAGTTATTAATTAATAGAAAAGGAAGCAATATAAATAAAAGACTTACTTATCAAAGTTATTGTGGATCACACACTTTATAGAACAAGTTATTGATAAATGGTGAAATATAGTCCAAGTGATTTTATCAAGAAAATTCATCTCAAAAGCTTGTAAATTGAAACAGGTGCCTTCTCTACCTTTTATAAGAAATTAAGATGATTAATGAAGGCTGAGAAAAGCTTAAAAATAATTATATCATATTTTTGAGAAATATCATGAAGAACAGTTTAAAAGAAATGTGTTTGTACTTCATGGAATAGATGATCAATAATTCACTTGATCAAACAGTTTATCGATCATTGAAGTAAGTATAGAAAATTATTTTAACTAAATTTATCTAAAACGTTATTGATAAGGACTTGATCGAACATATTATCTGAAAAGCTATCTAAAAGACTTAGACAGAGTAAGCAAAGAAAACTTGACGTTAATCAATTAATTGATCGATAAGTGCATTTATCGATTAGATGATCGATATTTGTGATTATCGATAAAGTGATCCATAATTGACTGAATAAAACTTGAAATTGAGAAAGATTGAGAGAATCTTAGTCAAACAGGTCATCAAACATTGTAGCAAAATAGACTTAGACAGTTTTAAAACAACTTATTGATAAGTATGATTATCGATAAAGTGATCGATAACTCATAAAGTATTCTAAATAGGATTTAGATGATTGAGACTAGCCATTTATCTGAAATGTGATTGATAACCTCATTTATCAATAAGGTCATCAATAAATACTTGTCAAAAGAGAGAGACTTACCTTTTTAACCTGGTAGCTTATTGAACAACTGATTTATCAATCAAGTGATTGATAATTTACCAATAATAACCAAATTCAAGCAAGACGACCAGTGATTGATAAGGCGTCCATCCCGAGAAATTTCATTTGGACATAGGAAATTAAAAATTGAGATGAGGACCAATGTAGAAACTAGACGAGGAGACGAAACAACTTTTGAGGTGAAACCCCGACAAGGTCCGAGCTGGCATTTTCGTAATTATCAGTCTAGGAAGCAAAACGGGAAAAATTGAGAAAAATTCTAAAAAATTCCTGAAAAATAGAAAAAGTGTAAGGTAGAGCTTTTGGAAACTTGGTTGAGACCCAAAAGGTAGGATTATTGTGAAAATAGATTATTATAGAATTTTCCATAAACAGAGGCTTTTCGGGAAATTATTGGAAAAATAGAGGAAGATAATTATTTTAATTAGTTAAAAGCCTCAATAAATTTAAAAAAATGGATGAATCATTTAAATATTTATTTGAATTTACAAAATTGATTTTAGGCCTTGGAAGTTTAGAATTAATTTTAGAAAATTTAATTTTAGGGAATTTATTTTCCCGTAATAACACTAATAAAGGCCTAATCAGAGAAAATTTCAAATAAATACTTAGAGGTGGTAAACAAATTCTGAAAATTTTCAAATCATATTCTTATATTAAAAGGTAAATTATCATGGAGAGAAATGAATTTTTGGAGGTCTAGAAAAATTATGGAATGTTACTAGTGAATAGTAACTGATAAAGTTTCAAAGTGGTTTGAGATTTTGCTTTGGGGTGTGGGCCATCTTTTGGGGCCAGCCCAAACCATTTGTGGGGCCCACTTTGAGCCCAATAAGGGCCCAATTTTGTTGCTTGCTGCCCACTCCACAGAATTAATTAAAATAAATACAAAATTAAGGGATAAATGCTTGGAAAGTCTAGAATTGCCACTTGGATTAATCTGATTTATTTTGCTGTAAATGGCTGCCACATAACCCCCCATTACGTGTCCCAAATTTGGCCAATTAAGGAGAGAAGGGAGCAGATTAAATTTTCTATAAATGCCCCTCTTGAAAATACAAAGAAATGTTGGAAAAATAGGAAAAATAGGGAAGATGTTGCCACTGTAGCTCCAGACCTTAAAGACCGAAAATTGAAGGATTTTGGACAAGGAATCATTCAACTTATATCAAGGAAACATCAAGGTATGTTTAAGTCTCCTTATCCCTAAGTTTTACACTAATTTAGTGAGGGTTTTGAATTGAAAAATCAAGTGTATATGCTGCCAAATTTTCATTGGACCATGTAATGCTTAGGGAAGGGTAGAAGCCTTAAATACCAAGTGGAATAAGCATAATTAAGTGGTGTATGGGTTGATTTTTGGAAGAAAATCCATCTAGGGTCCTATATGTATATTTCAACAAGCCACTATTCATGCTTCAAGAAATTGCTTTAGCTACATTTGATGATTCTAATGGGTTTAAAATGTGTTTTTGTATAGGGATATACTATTGGGAAGTATTTAAAATCATTGAAATAAAAAATGAAATTTTTGGAAGCTAAAACCCCCTATTCGGCCAACTCAACTTGAAAGGGAAGGAGTTTGATTTTTAAAAATCTGATTTCATATTTGGATTCCCCATGAAAAATTGTGTGGGAATGAATTATGAAGTTATTGATTCTTGACAAACTCAATTATTTTTATATATTTTGATATCTTTTATATGAGTTTTGTCAGTTTAATTGGTTCCTTTTTGCCTTAATTGATTTAATTTATTTTATTTTGAATTATTATTTTATAGGGGCAAAATTGTCATATTGTAGTTTAATTGTGACTAATTGATTTTTGAGGATAATTAATGCTACCTTATCCTTGAATTTTTCTTGTAGGTTCTTGGAAGATTCAAAAATAAAAAAAGAAAAAAAGAAAAGAAAAAGAAAAAAAATTAAATTAAAAGAAAATAATAATAATAATAATAATAATAATAATAATAATAAGTTGGGGGCAAAACGTTGCGTTTTGCCCCAACCTAATAATCATCATCAGCTGGGAGGCAGAAGACGCAAGGAGCGCTGAAATAAAACACACACACGCGAGGCGCAACAGGGGGAACCGGGGAGCGAAACGGAGAAGACGCTGGACGGCGGCTGAGAGCAGAGGAGACGCGCCGAATACGAGTTCGTGACGGCGAGAAGTAGGAGCTGGGCGATGAACCAGGAAGAAGACAGCGCCTTCACCTTCTTCTTCTCCGAAGCACGAACAGAGCTGGACGGAACCCACGAGCAGGAGGCGGCACACACAGACGACGCAAGCGGCACAGACGAAACGGAGCAACAGGGAGGGAGAAGACGCTGGGCGGCGAGCAACGGACCTGGAGAAAAAAAAAAAAAGAGCAACACAGAGCTCGCCGCTGCCGAGGGAACCAGAACGAGTGAGACAGCAAAATCAGTGTCACCGTCTTCTTCCATGGCAAACCGTAACAGAGCGCTGGTGGCAACGAATTTGATGGCAAACCGTGGCTAATTCCTAATTCTCTAATTCAACAATAATGACAGAAGCTTGGATCATCAAAGGGGAGTTTTAGTTGTTTTAATTTCTTACTCAATAATTGTTTAACAATTTCTAGGTCTTAGGATAGTTTTTCTGATTGTTGGGATAATTGTATTGCTTAATCTGATTATATTTGAGGATTATTGTGACTGGATTATTGGTTAGCATTTGACATTGGGCTGTTTATAGCTTTGATTTCAATTATGATGTTGTGGTTATGACATTTGTATTGATTTTGGAGTTAATATATTGTGATTTTCTAAGGTGGCTTAGAATCTTGGATCATATTGTCTCTTGCTAGCTTTAACTCTATTGTTGTGAATTTAAGAATTTAATTGAGCATTGGTTTTTAGTATCCTTAATTTCATTTTACTATTCTGGTTGCAGTTAGTAATTTGAATTTTTGGGAAAATATTTTGAGGCAATTCGAGGTGGCTCGGTTGTTGGATTAAAAGCTTAATTATAATTCTTAATTCATTGTTTTAACTCTCACATCTTTTAGAGTGATAATTGCCTAAGTTGTTGAATTGGAGGATTGATTATTATTATTGTTATTTGTGTGTCTCATTTTCATTTATTTAATCTTCATTCATTTTAATCACTTTTATATAAAAACAAAAAAAAGTATTTTAATTTCAATTTGATTCGTAGGATTTAATTAACAGTTTTTTTAAAAATCAAAAATCCCTTTTATATAGTTTAGGTTACTTGTGTTTATTTACTAGGATTTAATTTCGTTTTCGACTCCTCAAAGTGAATACGACCCGGGTTGTGCACTATATTGCATTAATTCGATTAATTTTTGGAGTAACCCCAAAGTGACAAATTAAGGGAAGTTAACTTCAATTCTAAAAGAGGAATTATTTTGTTAAAAATCAAAGAGAAAGGAGGAAAATGTTAAGTTAAAGATAAAAGGTTATGTTTAAATGGTTTGGCTATTAATGTGGCCTATGTCTATGCTTGATTTAATAGGCTTTATGAGGAGGAGTCAAGGACGATCATTGTCCCTTGAAGAGAGAAAATTAATCAAGTGATAAAAGGTAACTTTGAATTATAATTTGATTGTTTATCTTGCTTGTTTAATGTGATTTGTTGTTGCTTGGATTGAAGAACTTGTGATTTTGGTTGGTTGGTTGGTTAACCTTGGTTTATACTTTGGCCAAATGCATTGAATTGTGTTAATGTGTAAGTGTTAATGTTCCTCTCCTAGCATGAAACTAAGCATGATTTTATGTGGCTTGAGGATGTCTTGAAGTTTGTAACATGTCACATTGTAACTTATTTGATTTGCATGATAATTATAGTTCAATTACTACTAAGATTTCTATGAAATCTCATTCCTCCTATGTTAAATTATGTCTCAAATAGGGAATGGTTATTCTATGGATCAAGGCAAGGAATTGGTGTTGGGATAGAAGAGCATTATGGAACTAAAATCACTGTTATGTTATGTAATGTGTTAATAATAAATTTCATGCTAAGTTGTAATGAATTATGAATAATGATATGATGTAAATTGTGTTGTTATGACATGTCCTAATGTTGAAATATTGAATGGTGCAATGTCATAAGGATAAGAGAAAGGAAAAAGGGAAATAAAATTTAAGAAAGAGGTAATTATGGGATAAAATTACCTAAATCAGGGGCAAAATGGTGCCACATGAAATAATATGCAAATGATGGAATTTGGACCTGAGATTTTACAAGCAAATAGGTCTCATTTTTATCTTTAAATCAAGTGGTAAATCATCAAACTTTAGAGTTTTGTCCTAAGAGTTATGCCTCTCTAAAGTTGGGCTAAAATACTATAAATTTGAAAATTTATCAACTTTGGATGGAATTGAGTCTAATAAATATTTTTTCTCTATAGAACTCTTAGCAAGCTTCACGTGAAAATTGAAACCACCTCGTTTTGATTTTTCCAGAATTAGTTATGAATTTTCAAAGTTAGCCTAAATTCGGATGAACAGTGTGCGACAGAATAAAAAGGAAAATTTTGAAACTGAAATTTTTCGCCCAAAAACGTTTGGAAATGCGTTATAATGGTTCTAATTGATGTATAATGGAGTAATAAAGGAGGTGTTACATAAGGTGATCAGAGAACATATTTACCTAACAGGTTATCTGGAACAGTAATAATGTAATATGTGATCGATAAAACTTAACAGTACTTAAGCTCAAAACATTCGGTCATTTATCTAACACATGTTCAATCAACCCAATGATCCAACACATGATCAAATAACAATTTAACAGTTATACAGGGAAACTTAACTATTTATTTTGTTATCATCAAAACCTTAAATCTAACAATATTGGCATGATTATGAACATGCAAGAAATGAATGTGAATTACTAATGCAAGTAAGGGGGATAAGTTATCCTTAAATGAGCCATAAATTTGTGATAAAATGGAAGTGAGGCAAACGATGGAATCTACCTATGAAATTTGCTATCTTTAAAATTACACATCCTGAGCTTTAAAATAAGTGATAGATTGTCACATCTCCTTTATTATCTCATTATATGACAATTGGACCCTTTTAGGATCATTATACAAACCTTAAGTATGAGAAATTTCAATTTTTGAAACTTTGATTCCGGGTTACTATTCACTATTCACAGAATTTTTTGTCAATTTTGAAAATTCATAACTAATTGTAGAAAAATTAAGATGGGGTGATTCCAATTTCTATTTCAAGCTTGCCATGCATTGTATGAGGGAAAAAAAAATACTCATTAGCATCATATCATTACGAAACAGAGTCAGAAAATTCGCCAAGTTGCATTGTTCACATGGTCATTTTCTGATTTTCTAGTATTTTAGCCCAACTTTGGAAGGACATATCTCTTAACACAAAACTCTAAATTTGATGATCTACCACTTGATTCAAAGTTAAAAATGAGATCTATAAGCTTGTCAAATTTCAAGTCCAAATTCATCCATTTGCTCATTATTTTATGTGCCACAAAACTGCCTCTTTTTAGAGTATTTTTATCCCATAAACTAATTTTTTTAAATTTTCTTTTCTCTCTTCCATATACCATCCATTCAAGCACACCAAAACATGATTATAAACAACCATATGACATTATAAATTACATAATTCCAAAGGATATCATATCCATAACTCTTTACAAATATCAAAGTTCATCAAAATACAACACAAGTCTTACATAATGTCATAAAAATCACAAGGCCTCATTAGCTCAATACCTGTAAGGAATTGAAAGACACGTAGCGGAAAATAACTTTAAAATTTTCTAATCCCTTGCCCGGATCTACCGATTGTGTTTAAGTCAAGTAGTAAGAGGTGTTACCTACGGTATTCGAATCGTTAGTGGCTCAGGGATTCCGACGTTCGGGATGCCTATGCTCTCCTTTTGTTCGTGAGAAGTCGACAACTCAGATCGGCTTCCTCTACCGGTATCCACACGAACAGCGTTTCAATCACGAACGACGTGCTAGCGCCTCTTGTCCTTCTAGGGCTTTTCCGAGAATCCATCCTCACCGTTTCTATTTTGGCCGTTTCTTATCTGTAAACCTTTTGCTCTCTCACACACCTAAAACCCTAGCTCCTAAATATCAAATATATAGGATGCTATCGGTATTATGAAGGATATTGGATTTCAGAATTAATCCTAAATTAATTCCGAAATTAATACAATATCATATATTGCGTAATCTGATAAGAAATCAATTAAATAAATACGGTTTATATTAAATCCGTCCCACAGATTTAATTCATCTATTCATTTAATTCAAAATAAAGATATGACGGAGTTATATGTGATTCATTCTAATAAATCAAATTTGAGATATTATATTATACCATATCAAATTTAAAAGTGATAGAGATTTAATTTATCCTTATAAATCAAATCTTATAAATATCTCTTATATCATATAATATATATACGCGAATTTATATATATACACACACGTCCACCCTAGATTATTCATTGAATCTGGACATATCTTAAATTCAATGAATCTGGACATGATAGCTCGTGTTGGGCTATTTTGTGTGCGACCCTGTAGGCCCATATGAAGTTGGTAGTGGGCCATTTACTATAATGACTCACAAGTCGTAAGCGGTCTCTAGCAAGACATCACGACTTCCCAAATCATATGAGGATTGATGAACGATGTAACCTTTCATACAACCATATCACGTCCCTTTTGTCACACGACATTTTGGTTATAGATGAGGCATGGAGAATGTCATCCTCCTATTCCTGACCGTTACTTTCTCGATCCCTGAGTAGTCTGAGTATAGAAATGGAACTACCTTTCTATTATAGTATGATCATACATTTCTCAGACTTACTCATCGAGGGGCCCAGTAATATCTCTCTACGAATGTGAGGGACAAATTCCATCTTGACCATTCACATTCCTCCATATGAAAAACCACTAAGCCTGAATATAGTCTTTATGATCACTCGGTCAAAAGTAACTTTTGACTAGGTCAAAGCTGAGCGTTTCTCATGTAGGAATCCATGATGATCTCAGGTCAAAGGGCATAGTGACTTTTGACTAGATCAAAGCTGAGCGTTTCTCATATAGGAATCCATGATGATCTCAGGTCAAAGGGCATAGTGACGTGGTTTGTATATGAGAGAAGCTTATGACTTAACCCATGTAGCTCTCTCATAGTGGGTCGGTCCAACACCTTGTACTCTTATATGTGCCTATGACTTTGATTTATATCTCTATACATCTTCAAAGTCATACTAGTCTTATTTCATCTCTGCTCCCACATATATGACCGACCAGGGACATTTAGGATAAAATCATGAGTTATCCAAGGATAGTCATCACAGTAAACATGCAAATAATATGATAACATAATTAAGAAATTCATAAATCAACAATGTTCATAACACAATGATTGGCCCCTAGGGCACGATTTCCAACAATACCAACTCCTTGCTCTTATTCATACTTGATCCACTCCCTCTTAATACATAATTTAACATAGGAAGGAATAAGATTTTATAGAAATCTTAGTAGTAATGAACTATAATTATCATGTTAATCAAGCAATGCATAATGTGATATGTTATAGAACTTCAAGACATCCTCAAGTCACATAAAATCATGTCATGCATTATGCCAAGGAAAGAAACAAGTACATACTCACATTGGCATAACATTATGCATTTGGCCAAAGCAATTCAAGTGTCATAAAATCAACAATTGCCACAACATGAATCCAGCAATTGGAGTAATCAACATAACACAATAAGCAAGCAAGACAAACAATCAAATTATAAGTTCAATGCTACCTTGTATACTTAATGTAATTCAGCCTCCTTAAGGAATTATTGTTTTCCTTGGTTCTTCTTCTCAAAACCTATCAATTCAAGCATAATTACAAGCTACATTAACAATCATTCCAATTAAACACCAACACTTAAGCTTAAGCCTAATTAAATTCTCCTTTTCTTTGATTTTTAACATAATTATTCCTCCTTCAATTCTAATAATCTTTTGACACATTCCTACACAATTTTTCATGTAGAATCCAAATATTAATTCATATTTATGAAAATCAAACTCCTTTCTTCCATTATATTTTGGGCGAATAGGGGCATATATATTCCAAAGCTACAATTTCCTCTACCTTAACTAGCTCTTGATCTATTTAATTCCCTTAATCTTAGGGTTAAAATTTTCAGGATGTTACAAAAAGCATCACTTAATTCTCTACAAGAACACTTCGTCCATACTTGGGACGACTTGGTGTCAAAATTCAAAGCCAACATTCCTAGAGGTCAGAGAGCCACCTTAAGGGGAGAGTTGCTCTCTTTTGAAGAACAACTTGATGAACTATTCTATGAAGCGTGGGAAAGGTTCAAGGACAAAAGGAGAAATTGCCCAAATCATAAACAAAAGCAGAATGTCATAATGGAAGCTTTTAGAATGGGTTAAATGATCAAACTGTAAATATGCTCAACATTGCTTCTAATGGAGGAATAGGGAAAATGAAGGTCAATGAACTCTACCAACTATATGAAGATGTAGCCTTTAATACTATGTAACCATATAACAAGCGGAGGCAAGGCTCTAAGAGGTATCTTGAAACAGATTCTTCTTCTTCTAAAGATATCTCATCACAATTGGAAGCTATTTTGAAGAGGTTTGATAATCTGGAGATGCAAATTAAGCGAGGAAACTCAATCTAGGTAAATGCTTATCATGCTTATCAGTTTGCATGTGATCATTGTAGTGAAGGACACTATTCTAAAGAGTGTCCTTATAGTCTTGAAACTATCAATTATATGAACATAGGTTAGAGAAGGCCTCAAGGAAATCTGTATCCTGTAAAACATCCTTCTGTTTAATTACCCCTTTTAGTACACGTCTAGAAGTGTTATGGTTCAACCGGATCATGAAATGAGTCCATAGATTGAAAAATTGAAATTTGATTCTTGGGTTACTATTCACTAGTAAATTTCAAATTTTTGGTCTAAATTTAAAAATTCATAACTAATTATAAAAAATCATATTAAAGTGATTTAAGCCTTTATTTAAAGCTCTTTCAATTCTCTATAGGGAAAAAATGCTTATTGGTTTATTTTCTTACTCATTCATTCTAGAATTACACATAAAGTTGTACTATTAATTTAGTCAACTAGTACATTTCCAAATTCTCTACCTTAAATGTCTTAACACTCACATCTATTTTAAGTGATTTATCACTTGGTTTAAAGCTTAGGACATGTACTGTAACATCCTCAAAATCTTAACTCTGGAAAAAAGAAAATTAAATAGATCAAGGGCTAGTTAAGGTAGAAGGAAATATACTAAGTATAGGTTTGAATTTAAAAATCTAGATAGTGGCCAAATTCATATTTTTAAATATCAGTTAAAGAAAGATTTAATTGGAAAGTCAAGTCACAAATTCTCAAAAATTTCCAGAAAATCATGAAAAATGGAAATGAGGGTCAAGGAATAGTATTTGAGGGCTAAGAGGAATTACTAAAAGGAAAATAAATAATATAGAATTTTCTATATTTTTTTTTGGTTACACCGAGTAATAGTAACCAAAAATTAATTATGAAAAATATTTAGAGGCCTCAATAATTCTGGAAAAAAATATAAAAAAATACCTTGAAGGATTATAATAATTTATAAAATTATCCCAAACTTCTTTTGATAAGGAGGTTAGCTTTAATAATATTTAAAGCAGAATTATTGTTGGTAAAGTGCTGATTTTGGAAAAAATGAAATTTAGAGCATTCCTGAGAAAATTAAATTTTGAAAAAAATCATAAAACTTTCCTACACTAAGAGAAGGCTAACGGTGCACTGAGATGAATTTTCTAAGACAGTAAAATTGAGAGGATACAAAAAAATTTTCATCTGGCACTACACCGATACTAAGTGTAATGCAAGGACAACCAAGAAAGTAAATATTTTTGCAAAATTCCCCAGCCTATGAGGCCCATAAATCATGCCTAATTAGACCCAAAAAGGGGGACAATATTTAATTAAAAATGAAAAGAAAATTAAGTTTCTAGAAGCTAATTAAGAAAAGTAATCTTGGATTAAGGAAAGTTAACTAAGGCTAAGGTGTGATAATCTTAGCATGACATAAGCAAAGTGACATCATCTTAATGACATCACATGGACAAGTGGCAAGATCACAAGCTTCCTAACTTAGGATTTATCCATGTGTAATGTGATAAAAATGAATGGCTAAGATCTTTCCACCTATACCTTGTAATTTCTTCAAACTTCAAGGGCTAAAAGCTAAAGTAAAACTCTATAAATACCTCCTCCCACCCTTCACATTTCAGCCAAAGAGAGGATTTAAGGGGAGGTTTTGTTGCTCTTGGGTCTAGAGAGAGAAAAGGTCATTTCTAGAGAGAGAAAGTCCAACCAAGTTTAAGGAATCACTAAGGTAAGCTCCTAAGTCTTTTGTGATTTATTGTGAGCTATTTTATGGCTTTTTATATTGTTTTGGATCACCATTTTCTAGGAAAAAATATTGCCAAAATTTTTACAAAATTGGAAGAATTTAGCTAAGGGATTGAAACATTGATTAAACATCTAAAAAGGATAGGAGATTATTGGTTATAGTTGAATTTTGGAAAGAAATCCTAACCCCCTATGTTAAAGAATCAATTCGACCAAAAGAAAAAAATAGGGTTAGAGTTGAATTTGATTTAATTTGATGCTTCCAATATGTTTAAATGATGAAACGGTGTAGGGAAACACCAAGAAAGGAAGCTTGGAAGCATTAAAATTGAAAATGAAAATTTTAATTTCCAACGGTATAAGTTTCGGCCAAAGTGAGATCATTAGGGAGGAATTGGATTTTCATAAATCTAAGTAGATATTTGAATTCTACATGACAAAATTATGCAGGAATGACATAAGAGATTTCAAGAATCAAAGTTGTAAGTGATAACCCAGAAATCAAAGAAAAGGGGATTAAGGGTTATATAATATTTTGGATGAAATAATAATTTGTGGTGCCCTATTGTGTTATCAATAGGCCTAGCATCAAAAGAGAAGAGCTTGAAGGAAAGGAAGAGCTTAAAAGAGGTAGCTAGCATTTACTTTCCAAATGTTACATTGCATTGTATTTATTGCTTTATGTTATGCTATGTTGCTATGCCATGATGTGGATAAGATGACGGTGTTCTGTGATGTATAACTCCATGCTTGTAATGCCTTGGTTTATGCAATGTTGAGTGTTATGAATAAGAAGTACGTTATGTCCTTTTTATGGCATATGCATTAAGTGAAACTATGTATTAGCAAATTCATGTGGCATAAAATGCTTTGCTTGTGTGACATTGTGAATGTGATGTTGTGCTACTAATATTCCTATGAATCTCACCCCTTCAACAAAAACCTAGGGCTTTCAGCATCACAAGAAAAGGGTAAGGAGGTGGCTATTGCATAAGGAAATGATGAATGAATTATGGCTTTAAACCTTTCTTGTTTTATGTGGAAGAATGTAAAATAATATTTTATGGATGACTTTGTATGACAACTATCTGCAATCACATGCTAAAGCATGCTGTTAAAACCAATTATGTAGTTGATTGATTAGCTCTGGTAAAAAAAAAAAAGTTGATTGATTGGCATGCCAAGCTAGAGATTATTTATGGAAAGGAAATATAAGTGAGGGATAAAAGCCAACTATTTTAGAGGAAACTTTGACTAAAGTGAATCTGAGCAAATAAGTGAGGTAAATCATGAAACTTTCCCCATCAAAAGATCTTATTTTTCTCTTTAAAATAAGTGGTAATATGCCTTAAACAGATATTCATGCAAGAAGTTATGCCTATCCAAAGTTAGACAGAAATACTCGAAAATTAGAAAATGACCAAATGAACAGTACTTTTTGAAAATAAAACTGTGCTTGAATTTGAAGACAATTCTTCCAAAGCTTATTTTTTCTTAAAAGATATTCCAAAAAGCTTCCAATAGAACTTAGAATCACTCAATTTTGATTTTTGTAAAATTAGTTACGATTTGGCCAAATTATAGGCTGCTCTAAATAGTAACCCAAGAACAAAATTTTTCAAAGTCAAAATTTTCAACCTTTTGGCCATCAAATATGATTCTATTTACCTCTAATTGGTTGGTTATTTGGTAAAAAAATGAAGGTGTTACATGTACTAGCTGCTTACCAACTTTCATAAGCAGATTCACTCTTTCATTTTACTTTTACTCTATCAAAAATTCATTGCTCGTAATGAGAAAGTTTATCCCATTACTTGTATTAACATGCTATATGTTAGATTTAAGGTTTTGATGATAACAAAATAAGTAGTTAAATTTCTCTGCATAACTGTTAAGCTATTATTCAAGCACCTGTTGGATCATTGAGTTGTTTGTCACGTGTTAGATAAATGACTGAATATCTTTGAATATAGTTACTGTTAAGCATTATCGATAACGTGTTGCATAGCTCCTTTTTGAGATAACATGTTAGATAAATGTATTGTTCGATCACCTTATCGATAATTAGGTAAACTTGCTCCAATATGATTAGTGTTAGGTAATTATCAATCACTTGATTGATAAACCAAGTGTTTGATAATCTGTCAGGTAAACAGATATGTTTTCTCTATGATGATAAGTTTTTATCCATAACCTTAGGGATAAATGAGATTATCGATCACATGTCAGATAATTGGTAAGTTTCTTTCAAACCATATTTGTTTAGATCACATTATGAGTTATCTATCACCTTATCGATAATCATTCTCATCAATAACTTGTTCTAAAACTTGAGTAAGCTTATGTTCGATCATCTACTCGATCAAGTTATACTTAGTATATTTAAACTTCAAGTTTTATTCGGACATTTGTCTATCATCTTATCAATAATCACAATTATCGATCATCTAATCGATAAATGCACTTATCAATCACTTTATCGATTAAAGTCACATTTTCTTATCTCACTCTAACTAAGTGCTTCAAGTAACTTCTCAGATAACATGTTCGATCAAGTCACTTATCGATAACGTTTCAGATAAATTTCCTTAAAATGGTTTTCTATAGTTACTTCAATTATCAATAAGTTGTTGGATAAGTAAATTATCGATAATATGTTCCATAAAACTCAAACAAATTTCTTGAAACTATTTTTCACTATACTTTTTAGAAAATATGATATTATCTTATCTTCAAGCTTTTTTCAGCCTTCATTAATCATCTTATATTCTTATAAAGAGCTGAGAAGGCACCTGTTTTAAGTTACAAGCTTTTCATCAGATGTATTTTCTTGATAATATCACTTTGACTATAATTCACTATTTATTGATAACTTGTTCTATAAAGTGCATGTTCCATAATGACTTTGATAAGTGAGTCTGTTCTATAGATTGCCTCATTTCAATTAATCGATAACTTTATGGATTAAA